AATTCCATTATTGATCAAGTTAGTATTTTTTAATACACCATTGATACTTTTGATAATGAAACTAATGAAACTATATCACTTTCTCGTTCGCATGCAACTTATATGATTCACATTTTCAGTTCTCCTTCGGTACTCGAGGAGCTAATCATTTTAAGTGAAGTATGAATTTCGATTAACCATCACAACCAGTATCAGTTTAATTTCATCCTTGGTAGTTACTCATTTGGCTGATAGAGTAACTCAACTACACAAACCAGTGTTTTATTTCCCTTTTTAGGTGTTCTTTTATTTTTTTATCTCAGAGAGCTTAACAAGCATATATTCTCTCTCGATAATCAGTTGTTTCATTTCGTCAGCACGAGGTAAGGATGTCCACATTGACGTATCTACAAAAAAGTTAAGTGCAAATATTTCTTTGTTACGAAATCTGAAAAACTGCGTTCCGGAATGTGCACTGAGAAGCAGTTTATTTTGCGGCATTCCATTCTCACCTAGCTTATGCTGTATTAGTGTGGGGACAAGCTACGTCAACAAGCCGACTACTTGGACTCCAGAGAATTTCTGGTACTTGTTACGGAGACGACTGCAGGGAAGATTTCAACCTTCCCTTGCACATACTTCGTGGAGAGTTTGCTGTGTGTTAAACTCAACCTGTCAGGAGTTTGAAATGCATCAGCAAATGAGGACATGCTCAATCTGGGGTGCCTTAGGCTGAGAAGGTGTCAAGATGGCCTGAGTTATTGCGGCATCAAATTTTATAATAGCTTACCATCAGCGCTAAAAGCACTTCCATATGAGGGTTTCAAGAATCTTATTAAAAAAAACTAGTTAAAATTTCAATATGTGTTTGTGATGATACGTACAGTCTATACTTATATAAACTTATATACATATATATAAATATATACAGGGTGACTTTGAAGTTGAGTCATTCATTTTCAGATAATGATTGTAGAAGGAAGATAAACCAAAATATGTGTGTAAAAATAAAAAAAAATTAAAAAAAAAATTTACCTTGTTTTATAAAGTATCCTCCCGACAAGTATTTCAGTGCGGACCTGTATTTGATCGTGAGGTCTTGGAGCACCGGCATGCCGTCCATATGATAGGTCTTAAGTCAAATGATTCAAGAACCCGTTGTACTACATTAACAAAGGCACGAGGGGTTGGTTGCACTCGATTGGGAAACCGATCCGCATAAACATGTGCCATTTTTTATTTCGTTTGAGCCACGCAACAGATACCACTATCCACTACCGACTGTTACACTGACTGTATACAACTGAATGAAATAATTGTAAAAACATCGTTCCAAATTCTTTCGCTTTTTTGTTTCCGATGCGATGAACCGATAAGGCGAATTATATCCGTTGTCGCCAAACACGAGCACATAATATTATTATTGAGACAGGGCGGTACTCAAACTTCCAAAGGGCTATAACTTTGTTACTTTAATTTTACCAGAAAAATGGTAAAGGAAAAAAACATTTCTTTTGATCAGATCTACTCACTGTTAAAATAAATGACTCAACTATATTCCTGATCTGTGTAAGTCATACGACAGAAACACCAGTAAATTGAATTTGATTCAATTCGACACAACCCCAACCGACTGTCAGACTTTTCTTGAAGGTCTCCAGTCTGACACTCTTGAGAATGAAATATCTTGAACAGTGTTTACAAGTGATAAGATCACAGCTTTTGAAGATCCTTCTGACCAGCTTTTAAAGATCAAATCTATTTCCTACTTGTTAACTTTACAGTGACAAAAATACTTGCTATAAAACCATTGTATATTTTAGCTGTCTGCTCCTTTATGTATAAAAATTGTTCAATGGGAAAATATTATTATATAAGATTGTTATCAGACATCCACATATATACATACAGGGTGGCGCATCGAAAACGAAACAGACGTATTTACTGGCCGCTCAGTTTTTTTTAAAAAACGCTCAGACCCGTCGATTTTGTTTCAAAGGAGGACACAAGTTCGGAAAAAAATCACGTTAGCACGTGCAGCCCCCTAAGCGGGGGTGACACCACCCTCAAAATCTTAAATGGAAAGGGGGTTCGTTTATTTTAAAGGCATTTCAATTCCCTTTATAATGATATAAAATTAATGTACTTCAGTTCAGTAGTTTTGAGGATTTATTGATTTAAAGCTTGAATAAAACTAATACATCATCATCAGTGGAGATCAATACATTTGGTAGCAAAGTAATTTTAAAAAATGAAGAATGAAGTGACCCGTTAAGCGAGTATGACTCTCCACGCAATAATAAAGATTTGAGGAGTAATTTGAAGGCACTCATTCACAATTCTTTGTCGCAGGTTGGCTGAGTAGCATAGTTGCTTTTTAAATGACCCCACATAAAGAAATCCAAAGGTGATAAATCTGGCGATCTTGGGGGCCATTCAATGACACCTCTTCTACCAATCCTTTGATCTGGAAACGTCTGATCTAAGTATTGTTAATGCAGGATCTATGGCGTCTTCCAGTAATTCCAAATACATTTCACTGATCAAATTTCCGGGTAAGAAAACAGGACCAACTAAATGATCGCCAAAAATACCAGCCCAAACGTTTAATTTTTGTGGCTGCTGTGTATGAACCTCATGATAAATTCTGAGATTACGCCGTTTAAGAAAAAGGAACATTCGTCGGAAAATCAAATGTTGAATAGAAAATGTTAATCGTTTATAATTCGTTCACTCATATCCTCACAAAATTGTAATCGTCTATCAAAATCGTCTTCATTAAGTTCTTGTACCAGGTGAATTTTATACGGATGAAAACTATGGGCTTTTAGAATCCGTTGGACAGTACGTCGACTAACACCACACATAGTCTACAATTTGCGGATCTACATAAACTTGCGCTAAAACCCCCACTTCTATTGCTTCGTTCCTTATGGGATTTACAATGTTGCGTTTTTTATTGGCGACTGACACAGTTTCCCGAAATTTAGCTACAAGTACTAGGACATACTTTCGATGCACGTTACTGTTCTCATGTCGCTCATTAAATATTTCTGCTGTTCTATTAGCGCACTGATTATTTTCGAAAAATATTTTGATAATTTCAACTCTTTCTGCTGAGGAATGTAACACGGTTAATTTATGTAATAAAGCGTTATTTTAGCAACAAGGTTTGGTCAAATCAATCGCAAACTATGTACTAAATTCCTTTTTAAAATAAGTAGGAGATGTTTATTCTTCAAGAAATAACTTTTTTGTCACAAAAAAACGCTCCAATAGCTATTTTCAACAACAAAATGATAAACAAACCATAAGCGTAGTGAAGAAAAGCATTTACTCATTAAGTAAATTCTTTTAGTCAAATTTCGTCTGCAAGTAGTACAAACCAATCTGATGTACCTATTAAGGTCTACTTTAAACTTTAAATCAATTAATCTTCAAAACTACTGAACTGAAGCTCATCTATTTTACATCATTATAAAGGGAATTGAAAGACCTTCAAAAGAAGGTATCACTCGACCCCCCTTTCTATTTAAGATTTTAGGGTTCGTGTCACCCCCGCCCAGGGGGCTATACGTGTTAACGTGATTTTTTGCCAAACTTATGTCCCCCTCGAAAACGAAATCGACGGGTCTGAGCGTTTTCCCAGAAAAAAACTGAGCTGCCAGTAAATGCGTCTGTTTCGTTTTCGATGCGCCACCCGGTATATTAGTCATCCTTACTCAACCAGAAACAATACTGTTAGAAAGATAATAATACCTAATAGTTTCACAAACATAAACTTAAGATCAATTGACTATATTGGTCCCAAAATCTACAACAGTCTGCCCCTAAAAATGCAAATGTTTTGATCATTTCTTTGTTTTTTTTAGGAACTTAAATTTTGAATTGGTTAATTTTTGTCCTTGTCTAAGTGGGTACAAAGTGATATGGCATAATATAGACGTAATGTTCGAATAATTATTTGATCTGAAATTATTTTGTTATCTAGGCACCACATAAGAAAAACCGTATATTTATATGTTTTATTTTAGTGAATATGTAAAACCATTGTATTTATTGCCATGATTTTGTAATATATTGTCTTGTATTTGGAATTCACATTCTGTTGCACCCCAAACATGAGTAAATAAATAAATAAATAAATAAATAAATAAATAAATAAATAAATAAATAAATAAATAAATAAGTAAATAAATAAATAAATAAATAATATCTAAAGTTTTAAATCAACCAACCAAAATGAGCCTTAGTGAGCGCCGTTCTCAAGGAGCCTTATTAGCACAAGGTAGGTAACTTACCTTGCATCCTCACCAAATACTTATTAATACCGGTATGAACTTTGAGTTATTGTCGGAATGTACTCTTGAATTCCATTGTACCTATCTTGTTGATAATATCGACTGACATCGTAATTAGTAAATTTCGTCGTGGCCATCTTAGCTAACTACTGTTTTTAACTAGTTAGCTAATTATGTTTCAGAAATAATGCAATAACGGCCAACCTGCTAAAGCATCGCTTAGGCTTCGTCTCTAGGACAATGAACGACAGCTGCTGTTCACTCTCGCAGTGGTACATTCAGGTAATAGATGGCGCTTTGCGCAGTCTTGTTCCGATAGACGTCAATTATTTAATACTTTTTAGTACGGCTGTTTCCAATACATAGACTGCAAATCAATAACACAGTAGTGGTAACATACTCCCGTAAAGAAACTCAACGTACGCTCATTTATTTCATGTCACTAGTTGTAATATAAAATTAAGCAGAGAAAGTAAAGGTTCGCATGTCACACATCTGTGAACAACACGACTCGAATTTCTTATAAGGTGATATAATTGATAATTAACAAGAGGTATGTACATTGCTATAAAAGAGAGAAAGGACAATTACTCCAGATTGTACTGTTTCGTAAGGGGGCAGCCATTAATTACGTGAGTCGTCCAGGGGGGGGGGGGGCTTGAGGTGAGCGTATCGACTCTAATCCCACCGAGGAGTAAGTTGGACAGTTGGACAGCCAAAATGCTGTTGGATAGCCAAAATACAGACACGGGTAGCTACGCAGACGGTGACGGACAGCCAGACGCGGATCCTGCATCACATTTTGGGGGAACGGAGGTTGGCAAGCTATGTGGCTGGCCTACTTGCACGGGATATTGTCAGGTCGTTTGCACTTATTATTTATTTATTTATTTACTGGTATATACACTATCCGACCGGTTTATTACACCATTTAATGGATAGGGACACAGGAATCAATTTTAAGACAAAATTGTTCTAGAATAACTTAAAATTGCCAAATGACTTAACCTACTGTTATGTAAAGTCTTCTTAAGCTACGCAAATTACAAAAGAACAAATCTACAGCGTCTCCTGCACGTTCATAATTGTTACATACTACATATATATCGGAGAGGAAAGCAACGCATTGGTTCTAGCTACGTTTAAGTAAAATTATTCGGAATTGGATCGCGTCTCAGCATTAGGTACATGAATAAAAATCTTACCCAGTAAATATTCACAATCTATGGTATTATTAAGCATTTTACATAAAAAAGCAGCGTAGTTTCCGCGCTTCTCTAAGTTACATAGCTTGTATCTGCTAAGTAATACATCATGCCTGAAGCCAACTTCTGGATACGTAACATCTTCCTTGTGCCACAAATATTTCACAAACCACCTCTGAATACGTTCAATTTTATTCGAGTGAACTTCATGAACCATATTATAGAGCAGTATTCAATTTTGTATCGAACAAATGAATTATATAACGAGATCATGGTATATACACATTATTGAAATCCCTACAATTCCTGATAATGAAGCAGAAAATTTTATAGGCCTTGCTAACCACAGCATCAATATGCGAAACAAATGTAAATTTGGTATCAAAGAATATACCTAAGTCATGAAACTCTTCACGCATGTGAATTTGATTGGAACAAGTTTCCGCGTAATAGACATAGTGTAGCATTGATCAGCATTAAGGTAGAGCTTGTTACGGTGACACCACTTATTTAGGTTGCTCAAGTCATTTTGCAATATATTACAGTCGCCCTTGGTTTCAATTTTACAAAAAATCCTCAAGTCATCTGCATATAGGACCTCCCCAATGATGTCAGCAATGAAAATTTGGAATAGCAAAGTGCCAAGAGCAGACCCTTGAGGTACGCCGGAAGAAGGTATAATCTGAGTGAGAATTGATGGGTCCACCCTCGCGTACCTAATTTCTTTAACAAAATACCGTGACCTAGCTTATCAAAAGCCTTTGAAAAGTCAACGTTAACAACATCTACTTGCCCCTCTTCCTCAAAAACTTCAGAGCAAAACTGTTTAAAACACGGTAGACTAGTTAAAGTAGATCTGCCTTGGAAAAAACCATGTTGATTTGGAGAAATTTCGTGGTTAACATGGGAGAAAATTATATCATGCAATATACATTCGAAAACCTTACCAACGTTGCTTACAATCACAATAGCTTTTTTCGCGGAGCGAATCCCGGATGCCTTCATCGTATCATCATGACAAAATTTGTTACTCGGGATTAAAAATTCGTTGTTCGTGGTACAATTGTGTTAAGTTCTGAAAGTGCTCGTAATGTGTTCGACAGATCCGGTGATAGACGGAGGGATTTAAAATTCAGAACAAATCCTAACCTATAATTCTGTGTCTTTGTGATATAAACAAACATTTATCTTAAATGTACTTTCAAGATGATGCCAATGATGCATTTAAGTTCAAGTGACGGAGATTTGGTAGAATTGAACGAATTGTTTGAAGTTCAGCGGCTAATTGAAGATTCTCGCTGCACATATGCGACTATAGAGGCAACTCTTGGGGTAGAATCCGCAACAGAGCACACCATTTTGCATGATCATCTTCATTCAAAAAAGGTTGTTGCAGAGGTACAATCCTGCATCACCACAATGCATCTAGACACACTGCCCAACTAACTGTACACTTTTTACGCCAGCGCCACATCAAAATGCTAGAAAATCCGCCATATTTGCCAGATTTAGCAATGTGTGACTTCTGACTCTTCAAGAATTTGAAAACATAATCTGCGTTGTCGAAAATTTTCGTCCGAAGAGGAAATCGATCAAGCAATTAATCAGTTTGTTCAGCCATTCCAAAAACTGACTGGTTAGAAGCATTTCATTTGTGGAAGGTCAGGTTACAGAAGTACATTGATGCTGCAGGAGAATACTTTAAACATAAATAAACTAGTCTTAGAAAAATAGTTTTCAAAATATATAGCGTGGTCGTGATATGAGACAGAATCCAAACACCTCTGATGTACTCGTGGGTGCCATTCCTTTATTGATTATATTAATAGCGGAGAAGGCCTGTAATATTCGATAGACCGTACCGTCCCAAGATAAATTAATCCTCTTGTATATGCACTTCCAGGAATAATACATAATTCCAAATATGTTAAAACATGGATCACAACATGAAATCGGTCAATACGGAATTTCATGTACAGCAGCGTGTATGTGTGCGCTGCGATAACAATGGCTGCGGTTGCGATTTGATCGAGATTTAATCAGTTCGCAGTACAAGCAATCACGGGGATGCTGTTGTTGTTATGATATCAGTTTTGCTCTTCGCCCGGAACAATTCTACATTGAATAGCAGATGTCGAAGTTATGTTCGACGATCTAAACTCCTGTCCGACCTACCATACCTTTACTTTCTGTTTCTACTCGCTTAGTGGACGCATTGTAATCGTGGAGATATTTGAGTTTTAAATATTGCGCTTCGGATATTTCATGACAATTAACACGTCACTTGCAATGGTGTCTTTCCAGAACCTTCGAAATTAACAACTCATTCCTGTTCCTAAGGTAAATAACAAAATTATACAGGGTGTTCCTTAATGATATGCGAATATTTAAGGGTGTGAATCTACATAGAAAATTAATGTTAGTTTGCATTATAAACTATGGTCCAAAAATGTTCACTTACAAAAACTCGGGATGTTGAAGTTTTAGGACAAAAATGGAAATTAATTAATATTTTCAGAACCGCTTCAGATATTTCACTGGTATTTAGTACGTAGTGAAAGTTAATAAAGCTGCATATTTTTCAATGCAAAAATAATTGTTAGCTTTAACACTGGCGTGCGTACGGGTATTGACTTCGATATTTTTTAAGAAAAAAATGATACGCCAATGGTTTTTTGCCAAATAAAATATATTTTTGAATTCCCCGTTCAACTTAAAACAAATCAGACATCTTAAATTGATTTCCTTCGATGCGCCGTTTTTGAGTAAAAAATAAAAACTGTTCTATTGTCCGAGAAAATTAATGTAATAACTGAAGAATGCAATTTAGCGATAAATATCTAGTTGCTCTGGAATATGTCACTCGCTTTTGACATCTGACAAGTCTCTGTTATTCAAATCTGTTCGCTGTGATATCTTTTTCATTATTTAGTTTTTACAATCTTGTTAATAATGGTGAATTATTCAAATGCAGACATGGCGGAAATGCATTACGTACATGGCCTTGCCGACGGTAATGGTGAGTAAGCCAGACGGACTTGTCACCAGAGATCTCCTGATCGTGCTTTGTCAGATAGCCGAAGCTTTTCTAATATGCATCGTAGTCTTATTGAAACTGGTTCTGTCCGAAAAGGAACATCTGAAGGTAGACCTCTAAGTGGGAGAACACCTGAAATTGAGGAAGCAGTGCTGCACGAAGTCGAAGAACATCCTGAAATGAGTACGAAAGATCGCTAGACAATTAAATATTTGCCATCAAATTGTTTGGAGTATTTTAGTGGATTATTTGTTATATTCTTACCACATTTTAAGAGTACAGGCATTACTTCCCATTGATTTTCCAAGGAGTGTGGTCTTTTATCAATGGTATCTTCAAAACATTACACAAGATCCGCAATTTGAATCAATGATTCTGTTCGCGGACGAAGCTAATTTTTCTCGAAATGGCATTCAGAATTTCTACAATAATCATTTGTAGGCAGAAGAAACTCCCTATGCCGTAACCGAAACCCAATTCTCGGTTAACGTATGGGCAGGAGTTATTGGCAACCACTTTATTGGCCCATTCTTCTTGCCGGGACGACTTGACGGACAGACTTACCTCAATTTTCTTCAACAATAGTTGCCTTTGCTGGTTGATGATGTTCCGTTAGTAATAAGAAACAAAATTTTGTACATGCATGATGGTGCACCACCGCATTTCAGTATAGCGGTTTGTAATTATTTACAAACTGTTTATCCAAATCGTTGGTTGGCACCAAGAATGGCCACTAAGGTCCCCAGACCTCAACAGTTTATATTTCTTTTTGTGGGGCTATCCTAAGACACCAGTGTACACAAGACCCATTAACATTGTAGAGGAATTAAGAGAAAGAATAGTTGCAGCTTGTGATAGAATAGAAAACACTCCAGGGATATTTCAACGAGTGCGCCATTCCATGAGAAGGAGGGCGGAAGCATGCATACTAAGTGAAGGGGGCCATTTTCAACAATTTTTGTAATTATTTCCTTGGTTTTAATGTTATGTTTTTGTTGTCAGTTGTTGTAATTCATTACCCCTAATATGTTTAATTTTTCCGATTAAATTAATAATAATTTTGCAAGTTAGAAAATAGAACGGTTTTTATTTTTTTACTCAAAAATGGAGCATTGAAGGAAAACAATTCACGAGAGATCATTTACTTCAAATCGAACGGGGAATCCAAAAGTAATTTTTATTTGGCAAAAAACTATTGGCGTACCATTTTTTTCTTAAAAAATATCGAAATCTATACCCGTAAGCACGCCACTGTTTAAGCAAAAAATTATTTTTGCATTGAAACAAATATTGCGAGTCTGTTGTTGTTGGTATTTATGATGATTTCCTAAGGGCTGTCGACTATTATAACTATGTCTTAGCCGTTTTTCTAGATTTTTGGAAAGCTTTTGGAACAGTAGATGGGGATATTTTATTAAGTAAATTAGAGCAAACAGGAATCAAACATAGTGTTTTAAAGTGGTTTAAGTCATATTTGGATAATAGAGTTCAACGTGTATCTTATAAGAATTGTCTGTCCGAGCCTGTTGGTGCACCACAAGGGACGGTTTTGGGGCCATTGCTATATTTGATTT